TTCCATTGCCGAAATCCAAGATGGGCTGCAAGGCATTTTCTTTTTTCTTTCAGATCAGATTGAAAATAAAGCAACTAGAGACGAAGAGGAATCCTCATTTATAATTCTTTGAAAAAGATATGCCCAGTACTTCTGAAGAAAGAGCGATAAATGACTGACGACGGATCAAATACTTGGAGTGATTTGAACGCGGGTAGATAAAAACTAGATCTACCTCGTAGACTAAAGTAACGCATATCATATCACAAATTCATACTAGTCATTTGATAAAAGCATAGAAACAGCAAAATATTAAGAATAGAGAAAAATGTAATCAAAAGACATTCAATAATACACATGCAATGTAAAAATCTTATTTATACCAACACGCGTCCCAAGTTCCCGGAATTTTGTAAATTATACCTATCAAATATCCGGGTATGTGTTCAATGACAATGTCAGACATAAACCAAATGTCAAAGTGCTCCCCCCCCCCCCACCCCCAACTTTCTTACGCCATAATTAGCATACTTCGAAACTCTTCTTGCACTCAGCACGCCTACATTTGGAACAATAGGTCGCATATGTTTAACATACAATAAACATGGCGAGTTACAATATGCATGTATATATATATACTTCATATTCATGTACGTGTCATTGCATTTGTTTTATCCAGGTTCAAATAAATTTATATATATCTTTGCAACTGGTTATCCCCACTGTATGTTTAATTAATACAAAATGAAAACGTTGATAAAAATTATTTTCTAAATATATTAATTAATTACGTAAATTACAGAAAATTTAAAACTTTTGATGCATGAAATTGAGACGTTCCACAATTAGTTTTATAAACCTTACTTCTTTCAAAATGTATCTAATTAATTTGAGTTCTTCTGCTATGTTGGCAGATAACAAATATGTACAGACACAGCATGAATGTATTTTCATAGATAGCAGCATACAGAATAGTATACTTAGAACAGTGGTCCACACATGTAACGCCATTGACCATGGTATGCTGTGAATATGTTTGATCTACTTACAATTACTGCAACAGGCATGATTGGGTTCGCTTTCAGGTCTAATTGACTTGTAGTAGTAGTTTCAATAGCAGACCTATATGCCAAATGATGTATGAGTGACCTTATGCCTCTAATATTTCAAATGTTCTATTTTTGGAAGGATTACCAGAAACCTTATTTCTAAGAAATAGGTTGGATGATTTCATTTACCGTAGTTTTCCTTTCGTAGCTTCGTCAGCATAGAAAGTGAAAGTTTGTTATCTCAAACATGATAATGAAACCAGAATGCTTGATTTACTAAGACAATGACCCGAATACTGTTGGCGAAAAGTAATCGTCACAAAGATAGGGGCGACTGATTACTTTTTTGATCGAGTAACAACATGTTCCAAACCTGTGTTCATAACACAGAGGAATAATACCTTATTTTAAGAAATCATCATTCAAAATGTCCTTAAAAGGTACATTTGTTCGCAATGTGTGACTCCGCCACTGAGTGGCATAACTTGCATGGCTAATCACCCATTCAACAGATTGGAACGTGCTTAATTTTCATTTGCATAGCATTAATGATAAGTGTTTAAATAACTACTCATTGTTTTTATTTAAAAGAACTTAGCACCATGTCACTAAACATTTTAACATCGATTATAAATAATTAAAATCAACAATGGTTAATGTCACTCTGCTGCTTTAATTAAATCTAAGGTAATTTTTCATCAATATATCAATTATGAAAACTGTTTTCTGTTAAAGCAGAGTTTGTTTAGTTTAAACATATTTTATTTACATATACCATGACAATAGGATTAGTCAGTAAGGTTTAACCAACTAATAGATAAATTTATAGATGAATTATCAGATAACATACATAACAGAAGAAGAAGTAGAAGAAATAGACGTTTTCGGTTAGGTTTCCAAAATCTGCTCCTATGTGGTGTAGTGTGTTGTGTATTGTGACCTACACTAATTTTCAATTTCTACTTACTTTACTTAGTACGTTCCCGGAATTAATATTATTGCCGAATCCTTTGTCGCGTGCCATCTTGTGTACACATGTACGCATTTTGAGTATTTCCTGTGATTATATAGATATTGCTCATATCTATAAATAGAAAACAATAGTTGTCGCACCTTAGACGCAGGAGTGCCAAATCACATTATTTAGCGTGTTTTAATATACACTACCTGGGGTAATGTGCAATGTACAAAATTCATTGGGTAAATCTAAAGTTAATGGTCACTACATTGAGGGTTGGGAGGGGGTATATCATTTCTTTTCAATCAGTGATAAATCGTAACATGTATAAAAGAGATGTTGTAGGGACGGGAACCATTTCATGGAGAATTCATGTCCTCAGTTGATGAACATATGTCGCGTTGTAACTTGTTTGTAGAGAACAAATAACTTATTTGTATCAAATACATAAAATGCAATTAAATAAGACCCTATTGTACCTTATTTACACGTATATTTGTAAAATGTACATAATATATTGAGACCGATGCGCATATTAGTATTTCCTTATATAATAAATTGGGAATCCCCGAAAATGACGAGTGATCTAAAATTATCACAGTGGATCACGTGAGGAAGTCTGCTTATCTAAAATTATCAATTATGTTCAAAATGTAGTACACTGCTTGGAGACGGGACGATTTACGAAGGGGAAACGCTGGGAACTAACAGATCAACTAGTTCACATCATAAATGATAAATCACAAGGTTTTTTTTTAACTTTGGCATAAGCTCAATAGTCATGACTCATAGATAAAGATGATGTAAGGGTCAGTCGGGACAAAGATACACAGAATGTGTTTATTGTTATACTCCCTTATATTGTCTTCTTCTAATATATCATCTTTATTTTTTTTTTCGTGTAAAACTTAAGCAGAACAGTAAGTATGGTCTAAGCGGTTGAATTATAAAAACGAGAAATGTAAAAATCATCAACTAAAATTATATTGATACACCTAAAGTAATATTTTTTTGTGAAGGATGTTTTCATTTTTTTCCAATGTAATTTTTCTATATTTATTTATTTTGCGAGAAATAAACTTTTTTCTCAAGTTTATTCGTTTATGATATGCAGTTTGGGTGCGGCCTGATATCAGAAGACTAGTGCTAATATTAAATAAACATGCATGTTTCCTTCTAACATAATCATAATGAAACGCTTACACAATATGTTTTGTTAAATCAGATAACACACATGTACTACATTTACAGTCAAACTTTTAAAAATATAACAATAAGTAGCTATCAGTAAATTGTAAGCTATGGGATAAATACATCGAAAAACATGCTTAAGGAATGTTTCAGAATTTTTTATCAACATAACAATAAACACATAATTATACCATTCTCCATGGAAGGGTGCGTTCGGGATTGACAAAGTTCTTCGAATTCCATGTAAACACAAAATGTCGCCATCAACACAGAAGCAAGAATCACAAATATTTCCACTGGAAATTTTTCTTGGGAATCCCCACACACAGCGCATGCGTGTTACTTGTAACCGTTGGTACATGTTCGACAGGTTAATGACATACACATAATGTACACATATACCCATTCACACACACACACACACACACACACATACCCCCCCCCCCCCCCCACACACACACACACTCTCTCTTTCTAAATATATATTATACATCTATTACATATAGTAAACATTCATTACATTTTCACAAGTGTAAGACAAATACAATATATATCATTCGTTCAACTTTTATCTTTCACAGATTATTAAAACGTCTGGAGATATACATTTCGTCACGATTTATATCTAATTTGAATATTTAAATTGGTTATTAGATATAAATATAATTAAGGTATACATATAAATAAATATCAACTTTAATGGTTTCATTTGTTTGTCATGTGTTACACCATACACGTATGTTACCACTAATATGTATCCTCTCTCTGTTACAGTCGTCTTTTCAAGTATTATTACAATAACAAAATCGGGACTTTGCAAGCATCATTATCAAATCACAAGTTCCTTATGCTTTTTGATATTCATGAGAAATGGTTGTTTCAAATATTTTCTCAATAATACCAAAATATTAGCTCATACGCACTGTATGTGATCCCTTAAGATCCCAGATATTAATTGGTTCGACGCTCCCTGTCCGAGGCGGTTTGTGTTTCTCAGGAAGCTGAAAAAATGTACCGGCGGTCTGTGCTGTGGTGCTTGTGTCCTACTGCCAGACAACTAGATAGCATATGCGACGGACCTCTCCTATGTTATTCAGTAAAAGTGTAACCACAAACTACACGGAGAACCTCTATTGAAATAAACATGGCCGATTAACCTCTCAAACGAACAAATAATTTGCTTTATGTTGTTATGTTGAAACAAATGTTTAAAAAACAAAATTGGCGAGGACGGAGTTGGCATGAAGATGTTAGTTGATAGATTTTAATCTATGACAAAGTCAGGTCCATTTCATTTTTGTGATGTAATGATTTCACGGCAAACTGGACTTTAATTTCTTTTTTTTAAATCGATTTTTTGTTTCGTTATGTCTTTTTTGTTGGTTATATTTATTCCTTTTATTCCGTTACGAGGAATGTACTCTTACTTTTTACTTCAAGAGTACACATATGCAAGTGAAATTTGAAAGCATGTTTTCTTTGTAATATGGTTTGTCAAGGTCTAAGAATATTTTCTATTCAGATCTTCCAGAGTTACTTCCCTTCTTTTGACAGCCGATGACTGTTCTCAGACGCCAGATATATTTACTTTTCCTAAAGTAAACGATTGTATCTGACATAAAGGTCGCATATATTGGTTATCATATGAATAAATAATTGTAAAACGTTATTGTATGATAATTATAATCTGACATAAACTAACTGTTTTGCCTAAATCCGGAATATTCCGCCGAATATTATCCGAACCCGTGTTAATTTTATAGCACCAACAACATATCCGTTTTCAGGAACACGTGAAGGAAGAACTGACGAAAGTATACAACATGTCCGAGAGCGACTTTTCTTCTGATCAGGAAAGCAATGATTCTGATTCAGAGGTAGAATATTTTTGTGTCTATGTATTTAGGGTTATAATGTGTTTTGCTTCATTTGGGGAACACCTGTTTACTTTGGCCTGAGTCCTGAACTACTAGGACAGTTGTTGCTGCACATGTATCAGCCTCGCCTATGGGGAAAGCAGTCTACAACAAGATGACACAGTAATCAGAGACAAGGGTTAAGTTATATCACTCATTCTGTACCCCAAAGTCCTGTATCAATTTCTACAGTCATTCATTAAAGTAAAATGTATGTCATATAAACCAACACATTACTAAAGAAGGCATTGTCAGGTCCATTCTCTTGAAACAATCGATTTAATTCAGTTTCTTCCCATTTCTGTAAATCAACATTAGCGGAAGCCGAACAGTGAATCACAAATGTACCAGCTTGTATGTAATGAGATTTGCTGGTGCTCCATTATCAGATGTTGGAGTGCACCTGACTAAACTAACATGACCAGTGCTTGAAAGGGAACATTTATTTGATCTATTTAACAGGATTTACTCCACTTTTACGGCCTTTCGTTCTTTCAGCGGAAAATAAAAGATTGGGAAATGAGTAGAGAGGAAAGAGCATGAAACGATGGGAGAGAGTGGGATACAGAGATGAGGTAGAGGGAGGACATTTTCGCTACCAAACCTGTTTTTAACTATAATTTTAAAGACGATTCTGTTGGCAATATTTTAACTCTAACTTAACACTAACTCCATGCAAGTACGTTGCAACAAGAATATCAATTAAAGACAGAGAGGTAGGGGATTGTGCACTATGTAAAGTTTGATATGTTTATAATATTTTGAAAGTCTATAAAAATTACTTATTATATTGTCCCTGTTGTTAATCTGTCCCTAAGCTCTGGGCCAGCATTATCATGTCTGCTCTTTCTTAAAGAACCAAAGGGGTATCTTATCATATGAGTTGGATGTTCTGATATGGGCCACCATTTTAAGTCCTATCTGATGGACTGTGTTTGTTTTTAATTGTTGGTAAGGTACTGATGTTGTTATGTTTTTGGTGCCCATATCTAATATTTCTTTCCATTTCTGTCTGCATGGAATCACAGAAAGCATGGCTATTGTTAAAACGAAAAAGTAGCAGATAGAAGCAGGCCAGTGCTGAACAGAGACATGGGCACACATCTATGGCCAAGTGTTAAATAAACATAGCTAGCTAAATTGGTTACAGTACATTGTCACCATCATATGTATTTTTGGGTCTGTAATCTGTATATATCTGAACCATCTTGTCTTAACATTTTTTACCTTAGTGTACATGGGATTATCGTACATACGAAAAAGCTGGTCTATTCCTCACCATCTCATGCATTTCCTACGTCCATGTTTGTACATTCCACACTGGTCATTTGTCTGATGAAAACAACCATGTAGTCATCAAAGCATCACACTCAAAACCTGAAGAAATTTTTGGAATGACATTCATGACATGTCTTTTGTAAGTTCACGTGACAGTTATTAAAATCATTGACAAGTATTCAGTATTCAGATTAAAACAGCAAAAAACCTGTTTTGAGTTTGAACACTGTTCAGGTGAGAGCAGAACTGTAGAACAGGACATGTAATGTATGTCAGCTGCATTGCCACTTGTTTTTTGTTTCTATGGTTATTGCCTCATGAATGGTCTGTGAAATATTTAGACAGAGTCGCCTAATGATAGCCGGTGATTACGTCATTGAACATCATGGGAATGCAGCCACATGCTATCAATAGTGTCGGTAGGATAAACTTTTCTGTCCATGGACATTTACCATGCATCCCAACACAAAGTAGTTTGTGAACTGAAATTAATGAGACACAAACCTTTCAATAGGGGATCAAGTCATACACCTCAGATTCAGATTGTCAGATCTTGTTTGCTCTTAGGCAGATAGATCTTCTCCTATGGTTACGGAGTCAGATGCTCAACAACTTTCATGACCTCTGTGAAAATATATCATGAGACAAACAATCACCTATATAGGCACTAACCGCCAACCCCTTTTTTTAATTCTCACACCAGGTACTAGTTATCTTGTAGTCCGATTATGTAATGTAATGTAATGTTGTTTGAATTTCAGAGAGAAAAAAAGAAGTATCTTTTTAAAATGGTTGTTGTTTGAGTCCAAATATGAAATATATTCTTAACTTTCTATTGCAGCTCCAGTTGGCTTTTGCAGAAGGAAAGTTATCTGGTGGCTTGAATATCCAACAAGTAGCGCCAAAAGTCTGTAGAAATGATGTGGTAAATAAACAACAATAACATCAACAATGTGACCTTAGCTGTTTATGTAGTAGTGGAGTTGAACCTTTAACTCTCTCTTCTTCTGATACCTGTGTATAGATATGTATGAAAAGTCAAAATAAGTCTTAATGTTGAAATGATTACTGTATTTATCTTTCGGGCAGTGTAGAAATAAGATACCGTACATTGGCCCTTGTCTTCAGTCTTGGTAGTTGATACTGTTCATAGTTCACTGTAAAATAAGAAATTTAGTAGAAAATGGACAAGCTAAGATAGAAATTGAAATAAGAAATTGACAAGTTAGGGGAGTATTATATCAAGAACTAAGACATGCGTTTGATCCATTCACAAATGCATGACATACCATACTGTAAGTTTTTAATATAAGTTATGTGTTCATGTGTATCCTATATTTTTCTTTGACATTTCAAATCATAGGAAGGGTTAAAAGTAAAGCTGGCAGAACTCAAGAATGACCTAGGTTGGCTGGAGAGACTGGACTTGACCAATAAACCAGCTCCCGCACAACCAGGAACAGATATGGTTGGTGATGAAGATGTCCATGATGACTTTAAGAGAGAGTTAACTTTGTAAGTTTTGTCTGTCAAATCAGTTTTTTTCAAATCCACAGAGAACATAGAGTTTGTTGAGATCTGTTATGTGTATTTGTCGATAGAAAATAGTTGTTTATCAAAAGTGATAGTTTCAATATGACCATTGGACCTTTTTATTTTTGTATGCTTAACTTGAATTTTCTTTAATGGTTAATGTAAAGTGACTTCCTCAAAACTTAATCTTTGAAAGAGAAATTTGTATGAAAGGCATTAATTGATAGCATAAAAATTGTGGTATCAAATGCTAAGGAAAAAGGATTTGTGAATGTTACTGAATACTGATATTCAAACTTGACTCATAAATACTTCATGTTTCTGCCACAGTTATCGACAAGCCCAGGCCACTGTTCTGCAAGGTATTAAACAGCTTCAGAAACTTGGAGTGAAGACCAAACGACCTGAAGACTATTTTGCACAAATGGCAAAATCTGATGATCATATGAAAATGGTAAGATATACACAATCATCTTTAGCCATTCACTGATAGACATGAAATCAAATAAAGTCCATATAGTGTTACATATGTCCAGTTCTCTCAAATCACATCCAGTTTGGAATTGATCTTGAGAACCTCGGCAACAGATATTGTTCATGTTTACCTCAAAGATCCTGGTTTGCACGGGAGTGGGTACATTTATGACTCAAAGACATTTTCCAGATTTGCAAAGTAATTTATTAGGAGTATCAAATACAACTGCTGAATTATAAATGTTATAGGTAACATTGAATACGGAGCATTTAGTTGTTGATGTTCTGGTGCCAGTTAGTTAGAGTTGACCAATGGTAAATGAAAATTTCCAAAATTTGATCAAACCAATTGGAAACGTTCTTTTTCACAGTTATAGATTTGTGTTGCTTTTGCCTTTGATGCTTTGTGTTTTTTTTAACAGCAACAATTTGAATTTTTAACTCTAACTAACCTTTAAGCAACTGTGGCTTGGTTTTCTTCTTAAATCCTAGAAGAGCAATCATGTGTAATGTACCAGTTAATAACATGATAGACATATGACTCGAAGTCAGGTGGTGGGCATATTACAACACATTAAGCCGAAGGGTCTAATACATAACTTCTAACTCAAAGTCAGGAGATGGGCATATTACAACACATTAAGCAGAAGGGTCTAATACATAACTTCTAACTTAAAGTCAGGAGGTGGGCTTATTACAGGACTGTGAATTAGCAATTGTCCTTTATTCTTCTGAGCAGCAACACATACACATGCAAGGATGCATAGCTTTTTCAGTTATAGTGTTCTTTCATTATATTGTTATATGGTTTTTCCAGTGATTTGGCTCTTTTCAGGTGGACTGAGGAAAGAATCAGTAGCTTATATAATGTAATAGTGATGATTTTTGTGATGGACTAATTTTCTTTTTCTTTCATGGGCTCTGCGCCAATAGATTTATTGGCATGTATTTATCAACAACTCAAAGTATCAACTATCTGGTACATTTGTAATTATTTTGAAAAACAATGAAATTTGAGCACTAGGAAAATACAAAATGTATATGATTTTCCAGTATGTGTGTAGGATAGGACTGTATAACTATATATTTAAATTAAACATGATGGCCTCCCATTTACTACTAAGTGCTAATCTTGATTGTATTCACAGGAGTATAGATACATTTTAATTCACAAGAAAAAGATTTTGGCACTATGTTGATTTATATATGTGAATACATTAATACTTTGCATGTTACCGCAGATGACACACATTAAGACTTGACATTAAACATTCAGATGTTTTTGATTTTCATGATGCTCTTCCATTAATTAAACATACAGGGGAAAACCTATACTGTTTGATTATATAGACCTGTTCATATTTCAGAAGTGATCTGTGAAATATAGATATAACTATCGAATGGTTGTCAGATTGTATTTATTGCCAATATTGTGAGAGATAAATGCATTGACATCCATTAATGTGACAACTGTTTAGGGTTAATATCTTACCAAATTTTAAAAAAGATTACATGATTTAATTTGAATTTCAGGTTAGAGAAAAGTTATTGGAAAAGCAGGTTTCCATGGAAAGATCTGAAAAAGCAAAGAAAATGAGAGAATTGCGGAAATATGGTAAAAAGGTAAGAAACTTTTTCATTGTGATTAATAGATACCTTAACAAGTATATAATGATACATGTATTCACTTTACCAAAGACTCCCTATCATTTTAGACCTATGATTGAATGTACACAAATACAATGAAGTACATAAGTCAATACATTAGTTGCAGAAATCATGGTTCAGCTAAACTAAAAAATGTAGATAACAGTATCAGAAGGTGCTCCAAACAGATTTCTGTTTCCTTATTTATACACCTGTAAAGGAATTCAAGTTGTAGATTTGGAAGCTGATATAACAGGAGTTAAAGACCTGTTATAATTATTTTGTCTTGATTTCGGTCTCAAGGAGATCCAATCAACTTGTGTAGTTCACACATAGGTCATATCCAAAGTGATAGTAGTCATTCATTGTATTTGGTCATACCCATTGCTGTGTGTGTAAGTGAGAAAGCAGTTTCATTTCCTGCTGTTGGTACAATATTGTTGATTAGCATACATATCCTTCTTTATATTGCTTGATAATGACTGCATATGTTAGTATAAAAACAGTATAAACCAGCTGACATTACTCCAGAATTATGTTATTAATGTAAACATTTGACAATTAAATGTTGCAGATTTTTTTTCAGATTCCTAATTAGTTGTTTGTAATCTTGTAAACTTTCTTATGTTTTGACATTTCAGGTTCAACATGAAGTTTTACAGAAACGGCAGAAAGAGAAAAGAGAAATGTTGGATGCTGTGAAAAAATATAAAAAAGGTAAAATATCTTTGTGGAAAAACTGTTTAACACGTATAACACGTTATGAGCAACTTTTGTTATGGGGGCATCACAAAGGATTTAAATTATACCCCGAGTGTAAATATAAATGAACATTGTATTTTATTTTTATCTAAAATCAGAAAGATTGAAAATCGCATCAAAATCGGACAGCCCAATACCAAGATATTGTTGTGTAATGTGTACAATTTTCACCTGTCCTTCTACTGCTAATTAGCCTATGAGTGACTCATGTTGAATGGGACCCTATCGGTTGTGATTTCAAAAGTTTAATGACTGGTAGCAGCCGCCACGGACGAAATAGGCAAGATTGGGGAACAGCTATGATATGCAATGTTAGATTGCAAATGGCTGTTTTATAATTTTGGGGATTTATATGATTCTGATGATAACATTTTGTAGATAACAAAACGATCTCCATGCAACTACTCAAGATATCTTCACAAATACTACCTACTTACTCACATTGTTTCTGACTTTTATAATTGCAGATTGAAATACACATGTTGCTGCTCATTATGAGTATAGAACTGGTGTATTTATTCCAATAGTATATCTACATTGTAAATAAATGGATGGCAGGTGCACTTTTTGTTAATTTGATGAACTTTTAATCAGTCATGGGTTTCTGTTGTGTAAATTAAAAATTTATCCTAATTTCTAGAGATAATTTGGATAAAGAGAAAGTATGAAAAGGTATTGTCTAAGGTGTACCACAGTATCATTCTGTAGTATAGAGGTAAGGTATTGTCTGAGGTGTCCCACAGTATCATTATCTAGTATAGTGGTAAGGTATTGTCCAAGGTGTACCACAGTATCATTCTCTAGTATAGTGGTAAGGTATTGTCCAAGGTGTACCACAGTATCATTCTGTAGTATAGTGGTAAGGTATTGTCTGAGGTGTACCACAGTATCATTCTCTAGTATAGTGGAAGGGTATTGTCTGAGGTGTACCACAGTATCATTCTGTAGTGTAGAGGTAAGGAATTGTCTGAGGTGTACCACAGTATCATTCTGTAGTGTAGAGGTAAGGTATTGTCCAAGGTGTACCACAGTATCATTCTCTAGTATAGTGGTAAGGTATTGTCCAAGGTGTACCACAGTATCATTCTCTAGTATAGTGGTAAGGTATTGTCTGAGGTGTACCACAGTATCATTCTCTAGTATAGAGGTAAGGAATTGTCTGAGGTGTACCACATTATCATTCTGTAGTATAGAGGTAAGGAATTGTCTGAGGTGTACCACAGTATCATTCTGTAGTATAGTGGTAAGGAATTGTCTGAGGTGAACCACAGTATCATTCTCTAGTATAGTGGTAAGGTATTGTCTGAGGTGTACCACAGTATCATTCTCTAGTATAGATGTAAGGAATTGTCTGATGTTTACCACAGTATCATTCTGTAGTGTAGAGGTAAGGTATTGTCCAAGGTGTACCATAGTGTCATTCTGTAGTGTAGAGGTAAGGAATTGTCTGAGGGGTACCACATTATCATTCTCTAGTACAGTGGTAAGGTATTGTCCAAGGTGTACCACAGTATCATTCTGTAGTGTAGAGGTAAGGTATTGTCCAAGGTGTACCACAGTATCATTCTGTAGTATAGAGGTAAGGTATTGTCTGAGGGGTACCACATTATCATTCTGTAGTGTAGAGGTAAGGTATTGTCCAAGGTGTACCACAGTATCATTCTGTAGTGTAGAGGTAAGGTATTGTCTGAGGTGTACCACATTATCATTCTGTAGTATAGTGGTAAGGTATTGTCTGAGGTGTACCACAGTATCATTCTGTAGTGTAGAGGTAAGGAATTGTCTGAGGTGTACCACATTATCATTCTGTAGTGTAGAGGTAAGGTATTGTCCAAGGTGTACCACAGTATCATTCTGTAGTGTAGAGGTAAGGAATTGTCTGAGGTGTACCACAGTATCATTCTCTAGTATAGAGGTAAGGTATTGTCCAAGGTGTACCACAGTATCATTCTGTAGTATAGAGGTAAGGAATTGTCTGAGGTGTACCACATTATCATTCTGTAGTATAGTGGTAAGGTATTGTCTGAGGTGTACCAGAGTATCACTCTGTAGTATTGAGGTAAGGGATTGTCTGAGGTGTACCACATTATCATTCTGTAGTGTAGAGGTAAGGAATTGTCTGAGGTGTACCACATTATCATTCTGTAGTATAGTGGTAAGGAATTGTCTGAGGTGTACCACATTATCATTCTGTAGTGTAGAGGTAAGGAATTGTCTGAGGTGTACCACATTATCATTCTGTAGTATAGTGGTAAGGTATTGTCTGAGGTGTACCACAGTATCATTCTGTAGTGTAGAGGTAAGGAATTGTCTGAGGTGTACCACAGTATCATTCTGTAGTGTAGAGGTAAGGAATTGTCTGAGGTGTACCACATTATCATTCTGTAGTATAGTGGTAAGGAATTGTCTGAGGTGTACCACATTATCATTCTGTAGTGTAGAGGTAAGGAATTGTCTGAGGTGTACCACATTATCATTCTGTAGTATAGTGGTAAGGAATTGTCTGAGGTGTACCACAGTATCATTCTGTAGTGTAGTGGTAAGGAATTGTCTGAGGTGTACCACAGTATCATTCTGTAGTACAGTGGTAAGGTATTGTCCAAGGTGTACCACATTTATCATTCTGTAGTATAGAGGTAAGGTATTGTCCAAGGTGTACCACATTATCATTCTGTAGTATAGTGGTAAGGTATTGTCAGAGGTGTACCACATTATCATTCTACTAGTAGAAGACTAATTTAATATTAAAAACTGCATAACGATGAATTAATTTTTCATTTTAATCAATTTTCAGGACAGAAAGATAAGCTGGATTTCTTGGATGACAAAGGGCCACCTAATAAGAAACAGAAGACTGGTCAAAAGCAAGAAAATCAGTATGTTTTCATTTTTTTTTTAAACAAATAATTAGCATCAGTAGCAGGTAAATAAGTGTAAATTATAAATGTTGATACTTCGTAGATTGCTTGAAAGGTTTGCATTGCTGCAGTTTATCATGGAATATTTTGGAAAGTAAAACTTTCAATATTTGTTATGGTATTTCATTTTTTACCATAGGTTATTAACATTTACATTTGTTCTATCTTAATTAAAATCCTGATATCCATTTCAGCATCAACAAAAAAAGGGAATTCAAAAATAAGAAGTTTGGTTTTGGAGGTCAGAAGAAGAGATCAAAGATGAACACTGCCAAGAGCTCTGCTGACATGTCCGACTTTAATCCCTACGTTCACCAGAAAAAGCATGGCAGCAAGTCAGGAGGAAAGAAATCAAATCCAAAAAAGGTCAGGTGGAGCAGAGCTTTAAAAGAATTCTCAATAAAAAATATATATAGATTCCTAGGTTCAGTGTGATTGCTAGCAACTTCATGGCCTAATGGATTTTTATCTTGCTTAATATCAGGGTTTTTATGATCCCAGAAGGGAGAGCATATAGTCGCCACTTTGTCTGTCTGTCATAATTTTGTCCAGCATTTCACAAAAACTGTAAGAGGTATCAACATAAAACTTCATAGGTAGATACATTGCAGCAAGGAGAAGTGCAGTGCACAAGAACCATCACTCACTTTTGCATAATTTTGGAGTTATTGCCCTTTGTTATTATTCATACTTTAATTTTGTCCCCATCGGGGAGCATCACATGTCTATGATAGCCCTTGCATTGAAAATTACTTTGAATGGACTCTTATTGAAGATGGCAAATTCAAGTTCAAGGTTACATTTAATATTTTCATAATTTGGCAGTTAATTCAGTAAAATAAATCAGCAATTTCACCTTAAATACATCAATTTTAATGGTATTATGATGTAGCATTTTGCCATCCAATGATCACTGAATAATTGCTTCTTGCTGCTTTCACTTACTTGAGTGTTAATTAAATTCTGGGATTGATTTGAAAAAAAAGACTCTTAACAAGTCATTTCCAGGTATATTAACTGGTACTCTAAAAAGTTTAGGCCACAGTTGCTTAAAATACATTTACACTCACTTTACACTGATTTTAATAAAACATGATAGTATTGGGTCAGAATCAAATAAGAAGACAAATGACTATCTTGTTGAAGGTATAAAGGTCACCAGGTCAATATGTCAAATATTGTTTTCTTAACTGGTAGACATTTTGACGATGATCCGAAGCAGACTTATTTGGACGTGAACAAAAATTTTTTAAAAATACACTGATAACCAACAGATTCACATGTCAAAGATCACAAGAGATCAAAATTACAATAGACACTCTGTGATGATATGAAGCACAATTGTACAATCCAACAAGAATGTAATGTTATAAAATGGTCGGGAGTAATAGGATGAAATGACAGGGTAACAGTCCTAATCTATCAATTATCTTTTTTGTGTCAATTAAATGCAACAGTTGAGTTTAAGATAATTGAAATCAATTATGATAACCATAATGCAATGTGAAATTGTACTGATGCATGCAAAGGTTTTTATATCTAAGTTCATGTGAACTGCTTTTTAGCTCACCAGGCCTTTAGGGCCAAGTCAGCTATAAGGAAATTGCAGCATCCGTCGTCCATCAATTTTTGCTATATATTGCAACTATTCACGAATGACTGAGCAGATTTAAATCAAATTTGGGCTGAAACATCCTTGGGGAAAGTAAACTAATTATGCATAAATGGTTGTCCCTTTTGGACCTTAGGGGCAGGACCTAATAGGGAAAATCAATCAATTTATTTAAAATCTATCTTGTTCTTTAGGAATTGCAGGATATTGTCCAAATGTGGTATGAAGCATGCTTGGGTGGAAGAAAATCAGTTTTGTATAAATGGTTGGTCTGGTCCCCCTGGGGCCAGATGGGCGGGGCCCAATATGGATAATATATCAATTTGTATAAAATCTATCTTCTTCAGGAATCGCAGGGTATTTTTCTAAATTTGGTCTGAAGCCTGCTTGGGTGAAGGAAAATAAGTTTTGTATAAATGGTGGGTCTTGTCACCCCTGGGGCCAGATGGGTGGGTCCAAGAGGGAAAAATCCATCAATTTCTTTAAAATCTATCATGTTCGTCAGGAACATTTTCATATCATTGTTTTGTTCATCAACAATTCATTCTGATCTTTGGTTCTTTGAAAGAGTTGTGATCCCCACTGAATAACTATAGCATTGCTGAGTATCAGGAGCTAAACACAATCATAACTGATAATTTGTCCTGGGGTTTTGTATTTTGATTTTGTATTTCAGAACCACAGGCCAAGGACTATATTTACTATTACTGTCTTTAGAAATATGTTTTCTAATAAAACATTACGATACATAGAAATAGAGGGTTTCATTTTGTAGTTCCCTTTGTTGTTCAGTATGCCATTAAAGGAACGTAGAAAGTGCAGAATTTTTTTGACAGTTTGTTTACATTGTCTTTCCTTTTCTTGTTAATTTCAGAAGGGACCAGCTAAGAGACCAGGAAAGTCAAAAAGGCAGCAGATGAAAAGCAAGAAGCGCTAAACTGCATTGTTCATGGTTTTTTTTGTAAATAAATGTAAAATTGTTAACCAGTATTTCATGATTCCAGTTGTGTTTTCTTGGTTTGTCATGTGTGATCTACAGTATATCATATCAAGACAATCTATATTGGTTTTACATGTAGGTATTATAAATTCTTCATCCTAAAAAATGATGTCTGATATAAAGTTATTGGAAGAGCTATGAAAACATTACATGAGACTAAATCTGGTATATAAATATTTATTAGATGAGTTATTGTAAAGGAAAATTCACATAACAAGAAAATATAGAAACTATGATACATATCACAATAATGCAGGGGTGTAAAATTTATCTTTTATAGTCATTCATGATCTTATTCAATTCATCCATTTCAATAATGCTACATAACTGATTTGTGTATTCTCTTCACTTGGCGAGATATAGAAAATGAGGTATGATGGAATACTATTGAATATTTATTGATTGATCAACTCAAGCAGTCATGTTTCAATGAATATTCATTGGTTAGTCATGGTCCATGGACTGCATCTGAAAATATAGGGTAATTTTGAAAATTCTTTTGCCTTGTGTATCTTTGGCATTTTCAGAAAAAAATCTTTAAATCTAGGTAACAAAATTTGGAAAGACTTGCACATTATTATTAGTGTACTAAATCTTGAAATTTTAATAGATGACATCTTAATTATTTCCAACCGTTGTTGAATTTTGTTACTTAATTAGATAATAATTAATGGTAATTTGATCCTAAGACACAAGTGTGGCATCTTATTTAGAAATATTGCTAAATATGAAAACTGCCAAATGTATATCATTAAAGTGTTTGATGGAATTGCAAACAAAGTGTCTCAAATCACAACACTGTGCCAGTCGGATGTTCAACTTCTTCAGAAATGAAATATTAAGGCACCATTAGTTCATGTTCTCTGTTTGTTCCTTTACTCGCCATGCAGCATCCATATATTTTGTGATGGCAGTGTTCTGGCGGAAGAAATTTATCCTTTTATCAGATCTGTCTGCATCAATCTGAAAGTAGGATATATAATAAGTTTTATAAAAAAATGGGTACAGATAGTTATTGAATTTTATGTATTGATGGTGTGGTAAAAAACTGAGTTAAGAATAATTGTAGTTAAAATTTTGTTTTGACTACTTGATGATAAATTCTACTTAATTATGACATCTAATGGTACTTAGAGCTGACACCATTCTTGTATCATTTTTAAGCAGCAAAATCATCAGAGATGATTTCAAAAACTTCTAAAAACTGTTTTACGATTGTAGAGCTTTGATGAGGTAATGTATTACAGACCAAAATTGGTAGAGAATATGGAACTGAAAAAACTTGAATAGACATCAATATTTTCCCATTTCATGATAAGGATGGACTGCATTAAAATTTAGGTAGAAATTGGCTCGAATAACACTTGCTGTATGGTATGTAATACTGATTTAGCCTACCTATGTCAGTAGAATACCAACAGGTGCTGTTCAAGTGTTATCAAAAAGCCCACCTCCTAACTAATTCCAACATTAACCTCCTCGCCTTATTTAAGGATGAATATGTTATACATGTGTCTTTACCTGCTTTAAAGCTGTATTAATGCCTATGAAAGCTATCAACCTATCTCTAGCACTTACAATATGATATTTGACACTTCACTTGTCACAATACTAACCAGGGGTTGAGTTATCCATCCATACTCCTGTGCTTCTGTTTGAGGAAAGGCATATTTTTTCACTGGCTCTTGATTTGCTCGTTCTATCACCTTCTTGAAATGTGCTGGAAAAAAAATACAATATTTTGGTTACTGTGACGATTACTCCAGAAAATGTGAAATGCGTGTATAAAATGTAAGCATATCTGGCTTTTATTGCTCATAAGTTTGCAATAATGTCAAATTTTGATTTATATTCAAAAGAGACATTTCAAACACCAATGCAATATGGCTCATTGGAAGCCATTTAAATATTGAACACATTTAACTTTTTTTCTTCTCTAATTTTTTAACAGTTTGAACCTTAATAAATTGGGAAACTATAGTAATGATCTCTAAATACAGAACATAATAAGTCCCAATTTTCACCTTATATTGGGGAAAATAATACTTTTAAGGCAAGTTAAAACACTTGGGCTGTAAATTTGGCCAAAAGTACTGTTCTTTGATTAGTTTTACATTAGCACTTAATTAACAGTTATCATTTATTGTTGTGCTAGTTGTATAATTATGTATTTCTTTTGAGGAAGAACCAGAAATGTAATATAAAATATAAAAAAAATAGTAAGTAAAACAAGATGCTTCCATCATATTGACTTAAAGAGCACACTTGCCCCAACAAGTACCTCGTATGTCCATAGGATAGACCTGCACACTTCACTGATCAACCAATTAAATATCCAGTCTTTTACCCAGTAACTCTGGTCCATTTCCTAGCCATTAAGTTATTCTAAAAATTTAAGTTGTATTTCCATTCACCAAAGTTCTATGTTTCAACATATGTTACATGGAAACCTTTTCATATAAATAGCTTTAGTTTCAATAATGCACAACATGCTTATAAGGTCAAATACTGTAATAGAAGAACCCTGCAGTAGGCCCAATCAATATATATACCAGGGTATCCTCATTACTTACTGTCTTCTTCCCCTTCTTCTGTGTCATGTTTAGAATTTGGCTTTCCTGATAAGGCATGAACTAAAAAAGAGTCAAAAGTACACAATAAAACAGATGTTAAATTTTGTAATTAGTAAAGGAGTGTCCTTTTTTCAAAAATTGTGTTCTTCTGGTGTTCGTATTTGGTTATTGTATATCCACATCACAGGTGATAATGATGGAGAAAGTATAAGTTTTTAATGGCAAATTTTAAATGGACATTTATTTGAGAAAAAAATGACTGCTTAATAAGAAACTTGCTCAACAGATGTTGTTTAATTGTACGAGACAACTGAGATTTAGAATGACAGCAAGGTTTAAAGAACAAAATGAGAGGTCACTTAGCCATGTTTAAAAATGGGGTCTTTTTTTTTTTACATATATACAAATTCAAGGGAATTTATGAGTGCCCAGTATTAACGGTCTGCTATAATGTCAAGGAGAAAGAACTTATCCCATAAGTATCATACTGTTGGTAGAAAACAAAATGTACGTATAAATACTCCTTCACGACCCAACTTACTTTTCTTGTACGGATTTACACTGAAATTTGTGTATAGAATTTGATGTCTCTGTTCTTTCATTATAGTTTCACAGAGAATTGCATTATGATGCACAAAATTTGGCGGTTCCTTCTCTCCTTTCACAGCAGCTTTAGCCATTGCAGGATATTTCTTTGATCAAGTAAACCTATTTCTGAACGGAGTTTAACAAATCGTCAACAATCAATTACCGGAAGTGACGTCGAGTGTACATAGTTGCTATAGGTAACACAATTTAAAATTTATCATTTATCGTTAAATAAAACAATTATGTATAATGTAATTAAATGCTTACATTTGCCCTTTATGTACATATATATGAAAAGATATAGAAAATAATTTAACATATTTTTGATTTTCCTTTGCCGACGCCTTCCCATGATGCAATACCGGAGCCACCATATTGCCTTTATGGAAACTGGAGAAGAAGTGTTAGCTAACGTAGAATCGTTTGTCATAATTTAGCTAATTCATGATCAGTCTATGGGGTAGGTATAGAGAAAAAGACGATGTATACACTAAGTAGCAATCTGGGATATCCAATCCCAATGCAAACTTCCTTCATCGCTGATAATTTACTAGAAAACAGGACGTTGCAGCTTTGTTTTTGTTTTGACAGTTGTGCACATCTGAGAGCTGACGTTGCTTGTTTTCGACTTTAACCATCAAGCTACCGTCTTTCAATAATGTTCATAGGATTTCCTGTAAATTCATGTTATATATAGATTAACAAACCACAAATACAATTATACACGAAAATAAGAGGTTTTGAGCTCAAAAGTTACGTCATTGCTTAATCGCATCCATACTCTAAAATTATCGGTTATCTTATAAATGAAAATTATTACTCATGGCCAGCTTTCATCTTTTCTTTAAAAATAAATGGGGATAGTAGCCCGAATCCGGCGACAGAGATTATTGTAGTTTTAAAAGTGAAGTTGGAACTTATTTATGTTGTCAAATTTCGTTTATTAGTCCCATTTCACATTTGACAACATGCATACCATACTGTCCATATGTTTGACTGATGCATTTCTCCCTTTTGGTAATTAGTCTCCAAGAAATGACTGACTCTTCTTGAACAACAACTATAAAATGGATCCAGAATATGAAAAAAGACTTCTCAGGCAGCAGAATGGTCAGGTGTCACCGTATGCTTCAGTGAGTAGAATATGTGTAGTTGTAAACGTTTTATGCACGGTTTTCCCAGACTCTCAAAAACCGTCATTTTGACTCCTTTAATTGACAAAGGACTCCAAAACTAATATTATATTTTGTTCTATTTCATATATGATCTAGCCTGTGAAAACCACAAATTTGCATATAATATACAAACTATCTGATTATACACCAATTAGGGTATGGATTTGTTACTAAAAGTAACAGAAATTGTTAAAACAATATATTATTTGAAGTCACATAAATTTGTCAAGGTCAATATTTATATTTTGATTACATTATGTTTACTGAAAATGCTGGCTTCTTACAAACTTGATGTAACGGTAGCCACCAGAGTATCTTTTAAGCAATATAATTTAAGCCAAAAGCATTGCATCAACTTTTGGGTTCTTCATGCTTTTGTTAATTCATATCCCAATTGGCAAAAAATAGGCCAGGTTGCCTGTTATATGTAAATTGATGATTTTACCTAACCTGATAATGTTATATGATTTTAAAATAAAAAGATAATTTTCAAGAACAATCTGTGAGAATATGTTATCATTTACATTTGACTACAATCTAAAGCCCAATTTTAAAATTCTTGATATATTTATTTTCAGCCCCTCTCGTTGAGTCCTAGTCCAGTTGCATCACCTAGTAAAGACAAGTATGGCGATAGGTTCATTCCAAGTAGAGCTGGAGCAAGCTGGCATATTAATTTCAATATGTCCAAGGTAATCCAATTATTTATATGCACTATTGTGAATATCGAGTCAACAAAATTGATCAATGAAAAGACATGTATACAGTATAACAGTAAATTACAGTGTTATCTAGTAAGGAAGATATTGATAGTGACTTCATACTTTATCATTCCTGATAACAATTCTGCTAAATGTTTTAGAAATATTTGTCACATTTATCTGGCAAAAAAATCCACACCTTAGAATAAGCCCGCCCACATATTCAAATTTTTTTTTTGAGAATCTTTTATCAGTGCTATTTCACTAGCCTAGTTTAGCCCATATTCTACTGTTATCGAGTATACTTTTGTATGTCAACCATCCAAGCTTATTGAAAGAAAAATGGTAAGTACAGTAAAACATGGATAAGTCCAAGTTGCAGGATCAGATGAAATATTCCACTTATCCGTTAGTTGAACTTAGCCATGTTTTTATGAACGGAGACATTGTGCATGGAAGATTGACCCTATTTCATGGGGTTTTTTTTAAACTGAATATGTGTCTCATAGCATGGAGTGACTGTAATGATAAGTAATAATTACATAAAAAGATTCTATTTTTATATACACTTACAATATCTTTTATTGAAATAAACAGTTATAATTATGTACATACAACAAAAAAAATGTCACACTCATGGATACACACAATCATCAGTGTTTAATTTACAAGGATAAAAAAAGAAAAAAAATCTGGGGCGGATTCAGCTGATCCAATGTATTTGATTCAGATGTGTTCAACACAAGTGAGTTTTACTGTATGGTACACCTGTATGACTTGAACATTGATCATGTCGAAATCAGTGTTTATATATTTGTCTTTGGTATTTAGGAGAGTCCTATACCTTCACCAACGCCTAGTACAAAATCAAAGGAGCAGACCACAAGTGACAATGTTAAAGATGGACTTGCTTACTCTTGCCTTTTAAGGAATGAATTATTGTCTGCAGGAATTGAAGATCTAAAGGTCTGAAATGTTCAATTATTGTGTTATTGATATTTTTTGAAAGTCATATTCAGTCATTGATAATATATCAGATAATCTGGTTAAGGCAATTAAAAGTTTTTCCATGGATTTGCCATTGAACTTCTTCATTTGAACTAAATGGTTTTTTTGAAAGATATTGATGAAAAACAATTTAAGTATGTCTATAGTGTGTGACATTTGATTATGTAAAAAACTATCTACTGTGATGTTATTAACAAATATTGTGATTGAACTTTTTGATTTGCAGGATCAACAACCAGATGAAAGAAGAATTCTGGTCCCAAAAGAAAGTAAAAATTTATTTAGGGTATGTATCCAGTCTGACATGAAATAGAAGAAAAATATCTGTGCCAGATTCTTAGGGCCAGCTTGTTTAAGTGTACAAACAGGTTTGTCATGACTTCAAATGTAGCATTTTTCAGGCATAAGTCAGGACAGACCTGCAGTACAGGCCTTGAAAGTCTTAGCCAAGGCTTATCAGAAAGCAAAGATCTGTAGTCCATTTTCTATAAACACACAACCTTGCTCAAGTCAGCGAAAGAACAAACCAGGATGTGCTATTTCAAATTTTTAGGATGTGATTATATGCATATTTGCATTTGTTGGGTAAAACTATATTTGTCTTTTTCATTGACAGTATCATGTACCCAGAAGAAGTCTGGACTTCAGTGATTCATCACCATATTCATTATCACCTGTTGGTAGCAAAAGTCAGAAACTCCTGAGATCACCACGCAAGGTATTTTCACAAGATCAGATTGTTTTAATGACTTTTAATGAAGTGCGCAGTGAATAAGTTTTAATGACTTTTAATGAAGTGCGCAGTGAATAAGTTTCTCTTTTTTTTCATGTTTATTTATTTCAATGTATTAATTTTGAATACCATATTTTCCTAATTATAAAGCGTTGTCTTTTTTCCTCGGCGGTTGGGCATGCAGCTTATATGTGGACGAAAAACAAATTTGGCAGAATGAAAAAAAAGTGTAATATCTGGAGATCGCTTCTACATCTTTATGTATTTCGGAACGGCCATATTGTTTAGGCATATCACATGCTCTATTGACCTAGGTGGCCTTGCACCCTGATCATATTGGTTGCTGTAACATGTTGCACTTTCAGAAAGAACGAAACATTGTGATTTAATCAAGGATACCAGTACAAGGCGTTGGTACCAGTACCTGCCCACCACATGTTTGTGAAACGGATTGTCTAGAACTGTCATTTGCAACCATATACAGGATGATTTAAATATGAAAAAATTGACATTTTGTGGATTTAATTAATCATACCTTCTAATATAAATCACAATAATATCTTTTAAGCTTTTATGGTTGTTTAAGAAGCCATATAGGGTGTTTACCATGGCATGTTGCATCCTAGGGTTAATAGGTTAAAGGGTCAAATTCTAGAACGACTGCCATGTCTGTTTATGATTAGAATGACTTTGTGTAATGTACAAGAAATAATATGGGACTATAAGTATTTTTGAGCATTCAAGGGTCTTCGCTAATGTGTAACAGAACAGACACCGATGGAGATATTGTTCAGTAAATCTTATGTAGTGCTGGGTCCTATATCTGTGTGAAGACAATCTTTGAAGGCTGTCAAGCCAAACAAGTCCAATAATTGCTATTTTACGTTTTTGAAACATATCAACAAAATAAAGGATTGTCTGTGTACAATTCATTTTGCAAACATATATAAATGTTTCACTGACGATTGTGATCAGTTGCCTTCTGTTGTATGTGATATCAACAAACTTTGGTCAACATTATGGTTACCACATCATAAGAAAGAGTGTGGCTTATATTCCAATGCCGCAAATGTGTGAATCAAATAAAAAAAATCATTTTTAATTGACTCTGCGTCTTACAAGTCGGTGCTGTTTATAAATACAGTAATAATGAGAATTTCTTCTTGAAGCAAATTGTAAATTGTAACAATAGTTAATTGCCACAGATGTTTGATTTGATTTGTCTTCTGGTATTAACATTTTGGATTCTTTCATTTTATTTTTTTTTAAGAAAGCAAGGGGAAAAAAGTAAACATTTTCATTCTTATGTAATCCACAGGCTGTCAGAAAGATATCAAAGATACCATTCAAAGTTCTAGATGCCCCCGAGTTACAGGATGACTTCTACCTAAATCTTGTGGACTGGTCGTCACAGAATGTATTGAGTGTGGGATTAGGCACATGTGTGTATTTGTGGAGTGCTTGTACTAGTCAGGTAAATCATTTGACACATTGTTTATTTTATTGTTCTCTGGTCAGTAAAAGCCTTAATACTTTATAAGACTCTCTTTTGTATTTTCAGAATATACACATGATATATTATGACAGCAACAATGCTTAAAAATCAGTAGTTCAGTTCACAGCTTTCCTTGGTCCTATATAGACCAATTTCTCTTGTTCAGAATTTTATCTTTATCCTTTCAGTTTCGAAGTAGTGGAATAGCTCTACCAACTCCTTGAAAGTGTATATTAACCCCATCAAAATTGTAACCAGTTTACCATTAAGATGACAGAGAGTCTCACTTCATCTGTCACTTTCGATGTTAGTTCATAGAAGTACCAAATTCCTATGTCGATCTTAATTTATTCATTTTACAAAAGATTGTAATCCTAGTAACAGATGTAAAATTCATTTTCATGTTTGAACAACAATCAATAATTTTGATCCTTACAAATGTCTACATTAATGACATTTATAGCTGCTCCTGGAAGACTTTTCTAATTATTTATTAATTATTATCTTGTTTGAAAAACACTTTTTTTTCAGTATCCTGAACTTAGCTCATATGATTTTGTTTATTTATTTTTGTATTTTCCTTTTATTGCTCATGAAATGAATTCCTCCTGAAAACCTTTTTTCAAAGTTTTTTATGAGTGCCCTCAAGACTTTTACCGTTTTTTCTTTCAATGTCAGCCAACTAATTTAAGGTATTTGTATCACTTGATAACTGGATTTTTTTTGTTCTGGCAAAATACGTAATTGTGTGTGAGCAAAAGACACCTAACAGTTTTACTGTTGATTATTTGTTTATCATCGTTTGTAGATATAGGTTTCACCTCCACTTAATTTCATCTACATGGTATAAGTGAAACTATTTGTGATGTTATGTTACAGGTAACCAGACTCTGTGATTTATGCAATGATGGAGACACAGTTACATCAGTATCGTGGTCAGAAAGAGTAAGTATTTATGTTCTGTTTGTACATGAACTTGTGTTCTGACTGCAACAACAAGGTGTTAGGGTGGCATGGTAGTAATTTACTTGTCTTTCTCTTAGGTATTGAGGGTTTTTCATTTCCTCAATCTAACATGAAGAACATGTAAGTCACCTAAGTTATATAACAGAGCAGCATGTATGAGACATTTGAAATGGAAAGGCAGCTGCAATTTTTTTTTTTTTTTTGTGAAATCATTGTAAAAATTGCAACATTTTTATGCATTTAACAGAAAAATTCCTGTTCTGTGTTGTTTTAGATACTAACATCTGTTTTTCCACAGGGTCATTTGGTAGCTGTAGGGACACACAAAGGTTATGTACAGATCTGGGATGTAGCTGCTACAAAGAAACTTAATACACTTGAAGGTCATAGTGCTCGAGTCGGTAAGAAAAAATCATTTTACAAACTAAACCTATAAAAAGCATATGTTAAGTTCCACAAAAACTGTAAAACTAGATACCTTTCTGAGGAAAATGTTCGTCAATCTGACTGCGTTCTTTTTTTAGCCAGTGCCTGTCAGACTAACATTTAGGTTAATGTACAAGAAAATAGAATAGTATTGCCATTTGAACATATTCACAATCAGAAAATGGGCAAGTGTTAGATTATAGACCTTTCAAGGACATTCACGATGACTTATAATGAATTGCTGAAGAATGATATATGTAAATTAGGTTGATAGTATTAAATTCTATTAAAAATATGTCAGCTACATGATACATAGTTCTACAGGTGGTGGCTTCAAATGTTTTTTGTTTATAATTATTTTGTGTTGTTTAATATTATATAGGAGCCCTTGCCTGGAATACAGATGTGCTTTCATCGGGAAGTAGAGATAGACTGATCCTGCAGAGAGACATACGAACTCCTAGCTTAGTTCCAGAACGCAAATTGAGTGGTCATAGACAGGAAGTTTGTGGACTAAAGTGGTCACCAGATCACCAGCATTTAGCCTCAGGAGGCAATGACAATAAACTCTATGTGTGGAACATGAACAGTACAAGTCCTGTACAGACATACAATGAACATTTGGCAGCAGTAAAAGCCATTGCATGGTCACCTCACCAACACGGTCTTTTAGCGAGTGGTGGGGGCACTGCTGACCGTTGCATTCGCTTCTGGAACACGCTGACCGGTCAGCCACTCCAGTGTGTAGATACAGGATCACAAGTGTGCAATCTAGCCTGGTCAAAACATTCAAATGAATTGGTATGTATTTTAAACTACAAACATATTCATTCTTTTGTTTGAATTTAATACAATATTGCTGGTAGCCATTGTACATGTAGAATAATTTATTAAGGGACACAACTCTGGTAGGAATAAGCTATTGCTATTCATTGTGTTTCTTTATGTGTATAATTATACTATTTCTTGATTTGCTTTGCCAGTTATAAGTTTAAGATTTAATCTAAAAAGTTATTCACTACATGTTGTAGAAAGAAAGATGAGGAAACCATTTTTTTCTTTCACGTCATAATGATTTAAACTTCTCTCAATATTTATTCAACAGTTAGAATTGAAAACATTAGTGAATGACAATAGATGACTTTGTTGTTAATATCTGAGATGTTGATTTTTCCTTTCAATTGCAGGTCAGTACACATGGTTATTCACAGAATCAGATACTTGTTTGGAAGTATCCTTCATTAGTACAGATAGCCAAACTTACTGGACACACATACAGGGTACTCTATCTGGTAAGTAGTCTGTTCTACAAGGTAGTTTAGTATAGCCAAACTTACTGGACACACATACAGGGTACTCTATCTGGTAAGTTGTCTGTCCTACAAGGTAGCTTAGTATAGCCAAACTTACTGGACACACATACAGGGTACTCTATCTGGTAAGTAGTCTGTCCTACAAGGTAGTTTAGTATAGCCAAACTTACTGGACACACATACAGGGTACTCTATCTGGTAAGTTGTCTGTCCTACAAGGTAGCTTAGTATAGCCAAACTTACTGGACACACATACAGGGTACTCTATCTGGTAAGTAGTCTGTCCTACAAGGTAGTTTAGTATAGCCAAACTTACTGGACACACATACAGGGTACTCTATCTGGTAAGTTGTCTGTCCTACAAGGTAGCTTAGTATAGCCAAACTTACTGGACACACATACAGGGTACTCTATCTGGTAAGTAGTCTGTTCTACAAGGTAGTTTAGTATAGCCAAACTTACTGGACACACATACAGGGTACTCTATCTGGTAAGTAGTCTGTTCTACAAGGTAGTTTAGTATAGCCAAACTTACTGGACACACATACAGGGTACTCTATCTGGTAAGTAGTCTGTTCTACAAGGTAGTTTAATATAGCCAAACTTACTGGACACACATACAGGGTACTCTATCTGGTAAGTTGTCTGTCCTACAAGGTAGCTTAGTATAGCCAAACTTACTGGACACACATGCAGGGTACTCTATCTGGTAAGTAGACTGTTCTACAAGGTAGTTTAGTATAGCCAAACTTACTGGACACACATGCAGGGTACTCTATCTGGTAAGTAGTCTGTCCTACCAGGTAGCTTAGTATAGCCAAACTTACTGGACACACATACAGGGTACTCTATCTAGTAAGTAGTCTCCTCTCCTACAAGGTAGTTTAGTATAGCCAAACTTACTGGGCACACATACAGGGTACTCTATCTGGTAAGTAGTCTCCTCTTCTACAGTGTAACTAAGTATGGCCAAACTTACTGGGCTAACATACAGGGTACTCTATCTGGTAAGTAGTCTCCTCTTCTACAGTGTAACTAAGTATGGCCAAACTTACTGGGCTAACATACAGGGTACTCTATCTGGTAAGTAGTCTCCTCTTCTACAGTGTAACTAAGTATGACCAAACTTACTGGGCTAACATACAGGGTACTCTATCTGGTAAGTAGTCTCCTCTTCTACAGTGTAACTAAGTATGGCCAAACTTACTGGGCTAACATACAGGGTACTCTATCTGGTAAGTAGTCTCCTCTTCTACAGTGTAACTAAGTATGGCCAAACTTACTGGGCTAACATACAGGGTACTCTATCTGGTAAGTAGTCTCCTCTTCTACAGTGTAACTAAGTATGACCAAACTTACTGGGCTAACATACAGGGTACTCTATCTGGTAAGTAGTCTCCTCTTCTACAGTGTAACTAAGTATGACCAAACTTACTGGGCACACATACAGGGTACTCTATCTGGTTAGTAGTTTCCTCTTCTACAGTGTAAATAAGTATGGCCAAACTTACTTGACACATACAGGGTACTCTATCTGGTAAGTAGTCACATCTCTTGCAAGGTTGATTGATATCTTTGAAATATGCAGCCTGATATCATGAACATCTTTCAAGATTGCATCCTATTTAAAACAGACCTGGTCAAATCAATAGTAATAATAATATGCCTGCTTACTAGTGCTATATTTGTCATCAGCTGCAATTTCCCTCAGAATGCATTTCTAAAACCTGCAATATTTAGAGTTTTGTTTCATTTCATTTGAGACCATGTCAACAAATAGCCACTGAGTGAAATATATGAAATGTAATATTTCATATGATGCAAAGACAGTGTTTATCTTTAAACAATCAGATTTGTACAAAATCGGGTCATGATATTTTAAACAATAAAATTCTTCATGGCTTTAGTTATGTTGGCATTCTGATATTGTGAATAACAGTATTCTTGGTCTAAGGCATTAATTGATATGCTTGGTGAATGAAATGTCATTTAATGTAGAAGTTGATTGTGTCATCATGTCAGTAAATGCATATACAACTTTATTAGCTTTAGGAATAGGAATCTCAAATTTTCTTACTCTTCTGGAATGTATTATGTAAAACTATTCTGAAATACATTCCGAAAATGTCACAGTGAAATTAATTTCTGTTCCTATTGAGAGGTAATGGAAACCTTTTTACCTGATAAGATTCAATATAAATCATGACTTGTATTAGCAAACATACAGTTCGTCAAGGTTTCATGTCCTACAGTTTATTTATGAAACTTCTATGCAGGTTAGATTACTTAAAATTTTAAATGTAATTAATTATGGTTTGGAAAATCAATCACATCAAAGGCTCTCTCCATGTAGGTAGTACATCAGACTGGCCTAATGTCACAGTGACCTTGTCTAGACATTAACACCTACCAAATAAAACTTGTGACACAGATCTAGATTTGAGAGTATGATAATATGGTTCTGATATTGATCTAGAGTATGAACCTTGATTATTCAGATTATGTTACTTATAAAACACACCAGACTAACCACGACCAAGCTGACTTCACAAGTTGAAGGGTCTGTCAATTGTTAGAGAATCAGTGGTGTGTGAATTATTGAACAATGATTAAGGAAATGGCTTTACCTAATTTGCCTGTTTGATGTGATGATGGCATGGATGAAGTGATATTAAGAGATTATACCAAAGAGAAAGACATTAACCAAAGTTGCATTTAACAGATTTTGTTGCAGAAAAAAACGGTATGCAAGAAAATATTACACCAATCAAAAAGTTATATTAACAGACATTAACTGGAATTTACGTTTATTAGACTAATAAATTAAAGAAGGAAAAAATTCTTCTACTTTATTGGATTTTTTGATGTAGTTGGGTGTTTACACTTGTTATTTTCTGCATGTCAAGTGCACCATCGTCTCCAGCAGATATGTAGATCTGTAACTTGTCAGTTGCCTGGATCATAAGTGATTTATCATTTCTAACAAATATTATGTATATCAGTAGACTGTCATGCCATAAGTAGTCCTGCTGCTGGCTTATCTATGTAGTCCATCACATTCATTGAGAAAGCTATAGGACACATGTCTACAATGGTGTACTTCATGACTTTAACATATCAAGGTGTGATGGACCACTGTAGGTGGTATTTCTGTGTCATATTGTCTTGTCTGTTTATATGAAACTATGAGGTAGAAACTGGCTTGATAAAAATGTAGTGAAGATGCTGATATTTTACCTAGAATTCACTATGTTTGTGGGGCAGTAACCCCTGTACTTCAGACAGACACTGGTTCTTCTGTGGTTTTAGTGGCAAATAGTTTGTTTCAGTTTCGTGATATCTCCTCTAAAGATTTCATTGCAAACTACTTGTAGTTTTGTAATTTGTGATTGATTTCAGTAATAACTTCAAGATAGTTTTACTATTGTAGTTTATAGAGACAGTGCATGTGTTGCCCCTATTGTTTGTATAAATAATGTTTGCTACTTCTGTAGAAGAGATTGTGATGCCTTGTGTAGTTTGTAACTTATTACTTGTTACATGTGTTATTGTGATGCAACATGTAGAGATAAAAATGCCTCCTTAGTTAAAAATAATTTATGATTTGTATTTCTTATGATGCGTGTAGTAGAGATAGTAGTGCCCTCTTTAGATTGTAGATATTTTGATGCCCCTAGTAGAGATAATGATGCCCCCTTGTAGTTTGTAGAAATAGTGCTCTGTGAAGATATACATACTGATGCCCAGAGTAGAGATAAAATGCCTCCTTTGTTAAAAATATTGCGATGTTCCATGTGGAAATAGTGATGCTCCCTGTGATTTATAGATATTATGATGCCCCCAGTAGAGATGATGATGCCCTTGTAGTTTGTAGATAATATTGTCCCAGTAGTTTGTTGATATAGTGATGCTGCAATAGAAATAGTGATGGCCTCCATAGTTTGTAGATATATCATGATGCCCCCAGTGTTGAATAGGTCTGTCCCAGGCTAACATAGATATGCTGTGAGCCAGCTGACTACTGCTGTACTCTTATCAGATGTTGTGTCTGTAGTAGCTGTGGTTCCCAGCCATAGCCATGGAGGGATCACATTACTTGCACACCAGCCACATCATTAGCCAGGAGGACTGCGGTATTACACCACTGACAAATTGCACCTGATAAATTGGTCATATCAATATGCTGTTGAAACATCATTTGTTTCTTAACACCATCACGAGCAATTAGACTTGCAATGTTAACCAGATTGATATCAGATAGGAACATTTTGTGTTAAAAGGCTGGAGATTGGTGTCTGATGACATAATTTATGTAAGAAGGTCTTGTCTGTCACAGTAACACTTCTGCTGTACTCTTACTAATATTTCACATACTTTCAGTGCTAACTGACCCTGAGCATATAGCACTGAGAAAGGTACACAACAAGAGAAAACTTGTATCACCTGCAGCATTGTTTACAGAGTTGTGCTGTATTGATAGAGAAATTGGTTAAATCTTCATTACTTTTTAATGCAACTTGTGAAATGTTAATAAAAAATTGCTAAAAAAAATCTGTTGACCAGTTGTGAAGAAATTTGTGGTGGTTTATACTTGACAGGCGATGTCACCAGATGGAGAGGCAATAGTAACGGGTGCTGGAGATGAAACTCTACGTTTCTGGAATGTATTTAGCAAAACAAGGTCAACTAAGGTAATGCTGAATTCAGTTCTATATTGTATAATGGTAATGACACACAGTAAGGTCCTAAACTGCTGTTACAATAACTAGAAACTTTATAGCTTTCTTACTTTAAAGATCTTAATTATCAGCATAAAATTTATGGCATTCAAAAATAAGAAGCATCTTGAAATTACCTTCACATCACAATTGTTAATTTTGATAAATAAATGTTGATGGTTTTTAATATACTGATATCTCACTTCATTTGAAGGAACCTTTAAGTTCCACCAAATTTGATTGCATGTCCTTATTTGTTGCAGGAGTCTAAGTCAGTGTTGAATCTTTTTACGCGGATCCGTTGAGGAGTGTTCATTTTCTATGACCACATTTGTGTACAAGGCTACTCTGACACACAGACATGGAGTGTCACATGATGTGCCAAAGTAGAACACTGTCAAAATCTTAGCAAAGTTGACCAGGACAGAACCCAGCAATTCACACAAGTCAATAATTCAGAAAGTATAAACGTTATCACAATGAATCTATAGTCGAGTAGGAGATCATATAGCTTGAGGATAGTTGTGGGGAGAAGATGAAAGGAGAAACATTAATTTCTACTTCAGTATCTGTTGATCCTCTTGACTAATGACGCAAGACTGCAAAACTGATAGCATACATGTGGTATGTTGTTCTGACAAGCAGAGAGCTATTTTTTAGATGCCATATTCAGTCACAATGAATGAGTTTTCAAAACCAAAAATCCCAAAATCAGACGTATGTACATGTAACTGAAGCAGCATTTTGATGTCTACATTATGATTAGGTATTTATTACTGAGAGCTAGTGTAATTCCAAAACATTAGATAATGCAAATTTGAATCTCGTGAGAATTTCACATACTTCCTCTGGTGTAGTAGTATATTATCAGTATCTTCTGCTTTGAGTTCCATTTTCCCTCTTATAAACTTCATACAATAAGTTGAAGTACATAATGAGGTACATGTATGATTTTGGGGGGTATTCTGGTATAGGGTTAGTGTTAAGTTGTGCTCAACAAACAACTAATTCTTGATGTACCTTGCATTCAACTGTGTGATGTCTGTCTTTTGTGTCCACGTATGTTCAACGGTTTCAGCAGCCAGGTGCAATGCAAGACTTATTTACATTTTCTGACATAAATCTTGACTTGTGATCATGAAGTCCGGTGTAAAAATAACATTGGTTTGGCTCTGCGGGTAGTTCAACCCAAGGGGAAGAATTTGTTCACTAATTTAATGTAAAGTTTACCAGGCAGGGAGCATGCCATATTGTTAACAGTTCTTTGTGCATACACGTTTTTAATTTATTTTCCCCCTTTTTTATATATATATAATATCCTGATATTGAGTTGTTGTTTTGCTGGCAAAAATACTCTGGCAACAAACATAATTGTGGCTAAGAGAGAAAAAATGTTTCCACAAAAATATACATTATATAGCTGTTAATATATGATTGTTGACCAATACTGTCGGAATTATGACATATGGTAAATGTCCCAGAGAAAACGTGATTGTTCAACATCTCTGTTTTTTTTTCGCTTTCATTACACATCCTGTCAATCTTCATACTCCATGTAGATGCATAAATTTGGCTGCCAGTCCTGGTGTTTTGTCCCATTTTTAGAAACCAATCAGTGTTATATCAAGTCAATAATTTTGGTGCTACGTGTATATTTTATTGAGATTTTCGTTTATAATATTGGATGTACGCCCATCTATGTCATTGCTGCCATAATGTTGAAAATGGTCACATGAAGCAATTTTTTACTGGGAACAAACAAGAATTTCATTCAACTTTTTATTCATTCATTTAGAAATTTCTTGCTCCCCTCAACTTTGTTTGATTCAAAGTCCAAAAATGTTTGTCTTCATTTATATTTCATGAAACATTTTTATGGCCAGTCATGACCTACTTGAAAATTTACCAATGATAAATTTTCTTTACTCATATATATCAGGATGCATTTTATAGATTTTAGGATTAAAGTATTCCCTTGTCGTTGGAAATAATTTGTGATATGTTGGTTGATTTATTGGATTTTACAACTATCAGAATAAAAAAAGTGTTGTAGTTTAAAACGTGAGAAACAAAACATGGTTTTGATTTTATAAATTTTACAATGAAGGGTTTGAAGGGTAATTTTAAGACTTAATCAAAAGTGACATCAAAATATTGAAGACAAAACATACAAGAGTTTTTATTTGATCATCTTTAGAAGTTTCCAAGGAAAAACTTCCCAAAGTTTTTACCACAAACTTCAACTTTAGACAAGATAGACTTTTTAATTACACCAAAGAAGTCTCTTAGGTTTGAAGTTTTTTCCTGGTTTTTGTCGTTGTTTTTTTTGCTCTGGTAAAATCAATTTATATTGTATATATGTGTTCATCTTATTTCATGATCTTAAAAAACCCATTTAATCTCAGTTTTACCTTGAATTTATTTCAGCCAGAAATAGTAAGAGTCAAGAGCTGGTCATATCTCCCATTCTGATTGTTGGTGTTCATTAAGGGACTTTGTTGAGTGTATGATGTTTTTGTCAAGGAATGTGTAAAGATACAGGTACATTGAAAGATACAGTATCAAAGAACTTAATAAAAAAAAAACAATGAATTAAGTCACGTGTTTTGATTTATATCATTTAAATCTGAGCATCAGCAAGAACATTGCAAGGTTGACAACGTTCACAAGGCTTACACAGAAGGCTTACACAGACGACAAAATGAAAAGTGCATGAGAGCCAAATGATGAATGTAACTGCATCGTACAGCAATTTTGACTTGTGTTTTAGTTTATACAGCGTGTTGTCCTTTCTCCCACTTTTTTGGGAAGAAAGTGTTAGAAGTAATGTTGTGACAGTTATAGTCTGTTTCCAGTTTTGCCTTTGTTGTTCTCCACCTGTTTACCTCTATTCTCCCACATTACCTGGATTATGCTCACATACATGTAGATATATCCACACAAAACTTCTTATAGGCTTTTTTCTTAAACTCAGTTTTCATATTATATACCATTTGCATCAGCTAGATATGTAAAAACAGAATAAGGCGGTCACATAGATAAATTTAGGATTATGAAAAAATGATGAATGTTTGAATGATTATTTTTGGTGCTGTGCTATTCAAATCGCTCTGCCTCCGTGGTCCGTCCGTCTGTAAACAAATTTTGTTATCTTGATTTCTTGAGAAGTACTGTCTGTGTCCTCAGGTACTCAGCCCTCATAGGAACATGATGTCCACTCTCTCTACTGCTCACGCGGTCTCTCCCCCACGCTCGAGCGTCGCTTTCAATCTCTGAGACCCCAGTCTGACTATTTACTATCCTCAAAATAAATTTACGATGTGAGAAAAGAGAGAAAACATGTGTCTAATTGCTGCTAATGTTTCAATTATTAACCTAAGGTTATCCTATATCATTAACTTCCACACGGACTCGCAGAATTAATAAACTAATAAACAATTAAATCATTGAAATCATTAACTTGTCACTGTTGACCACTGTAAGAGACACTGAAAGCTTCTCTCGCCAATTAGATGTCAACCATCTCCACTGCCTATTGAGATTAATGATTGCAGGTGTCCATTCCAAACTAAACTTAATCGGAATCTAATTGGAGATGAATTTAGAATAGCATTGTATTGATATAACTATCCGTCTCTGCACCACTCTATCCATGCTTGGTTAAAGTAAATATATATAGAGAAAAACATACCGATATATAATAGACATTCCCACAACCTATACATACTAACTAATACAACCAATTAGCAATGATTGATTAATTGTAATTAAATAATAAACTTGCATTTTACAGCTTTTTTGTCACATTGGATGGATCTTTCTCCAATTTCATATGTAAGTTCCCCTTGGTCCCTAGGTGCGCCCTTCTAATTCTGGGACTGATCAGAAGTACAAAACGGCCGACAGGTGGCCATATTGTACTTTCACTTTGAAAGTTTGTTATTGCTGTGTCTTGAGAAGTACTGGATGGATGTTTTCTTAAATTTCATATGTAGGCTCCCACTGGTCCCTAGTTGTGCCTATTTGATTTTGGGACTGACGAGGTAAACAAAATGGCCGACAGGTAGCGATCTTGGATTTTAGCTTGGTAAAAATTGTTATTGTTTTTTCTGATGAAGTACTGAATGGATATCTCTCAAATTTCATACGCATGTTTCAATGGTCTCTCCTTGCGCTTGTTGGATTTTGGGACTGATCACAAGAAACAAAATTGCTTTCAGGTGGCCAGTTTGGATTTGTCAGGTAAATATTATCACCGCTATTTATGCAACGGAATGTTCTAATGTCTTATCATTAAGAGCAAAAACAAAAGAAGGGAAAATATACTACTTTCAAAGAACTTATAAAGATCAAACAATGGTGGGCGCCAAGATTCCTCTGGGATCTCTTGTATAACCTAAACATTTGTCACTTAATTCATTCTGTAAATTAAATATTACAAAAAGCAGAGACGTATGCAACATGTCACTGGAACAATAATTATCCAAGTTATATGTAAGTTTACAGAAAATGAGATTGTTAGGTCTATCATATATTCCACATCACCTACCAACACGTCAAACGCACACAAATTCAATGACATTTCTGTGCAAAGAGTTTGGTAAACAGAACATCGCCAACATTGGATACATATTCTGCGTGAAGAACAAAAGGAGTATTTAATATGTATATTTGTGTGTGTATTTCATAAATATACTGAAATTTATATACCAGGGCTAAGTATTGTATACAAGTTCTTGCTTTTGTTGTTCTTATGTATCTTTAAATGTATCTTGAAATAATGCATTACATACTCCATGTCGTCATTGGTTATAGTCACCGTCACGTTACTTGATAACTTAATGTTATTTTGTGCATTTCATCATTTAATATAAATGTATTGTTTATAGTGTCTGATGAAACAAATATAAAAGTTTTCAATTCTTAGTAAGTACTAGCTGGAATCTGGTGAATAATAAAATTATCATAATTAGGGAAATTGTTAAAACAATCTACTTAGATGCACCATTTCATAGCTATAAATTACCTGCATATAGGTATTATATCGGAACAGTACAGGTAAATAATCTACCTGTATATAGGTACTGTATCAGAACAGTACAGGTAAATAATCTACCTGTATATACGTACTGTATCAGAACAGTACAAGTAAATAATCTACCTGTATATAGGCACTATATCAGAACAGTACAGGTGAATAATCTACTTGTATATAGTTACTGTATCAGAGCAGTACAGGTAAATAATCTACCTGTATATAGGTACTGTATCAGAACAGTACAGGTAAATAATCTACCTGTATATAGGTACTGTATCAGAACAGTACAGGTAAATAATCTACCTGTATATAGGTACTATATCAGAACAGTACAGGTAAATAATCTACCTGTATATAGGTACTGTATCAGAACAGTAGAAGTAAATAATCTACCTGTATATAGGTACTATATCAGAACAGTACAGGTAAATAATCTACCTGTATATAGGTACTGTATCAGACCAGTACAAGTAAATAATCTACCTGTATATAGGTACTGTATCAGAACAGTACAAGTAAATAATCTACCTGGATATAGGTACTATATCAGAACAGTACAGGTGAATAATTTACCTGTATATAGGTACTGCATCAGAACAGTACAGGTAAATAATCTACCTGTATATAGGTACTATATCAGAACAGTACAGGTAAATAATCTACCTGTATATAGGTACTGTATCAGAACAGTACAGGTAAATAATCTACCTGTATATAGGTACTGTATCAGAACAGTACAGGTAAATAATCTACCTGTATATAGGTACTGTATCAGAACAGTACAGGTAAATAATGTACCTGTATATAGGTACTATATCAGAACAGTCCAGGTGAATAATTTACCTGTATATAGGTACTATATCAGAACAGTACAGGTAAATAATCTACCTGTATATAGGTACTATATCAGAACAGTACAGGTAAATAATCTACTTGTATATAGGTACTATATCAGAACAGACTATACTGACATCTCTATTGTCTTCCAAAGAATTATATAATTCCTTCGTTGGAAACAAGTGGATGAAAAGAGAACAAACCTAGGGAGTAACCGACAGGAGCAAAAACAAATGACTTCTATGGTTTCAATGTTGAATGACTTGGTGGAATATGAATTGTTGTCAATTACTTTATGAATTCTTATCAATTACTATATGAATTATTGCCCATTACTATATGAATTATTGCCCATGACTATCTGAATTATTGCCCATTAGTATATGAATTATTGTCCATTACTTTATAAATTATTGTCTGTTACTATATGAACTATTGCCCATTACTATAATATGAAATATTGTCCAATACTTTAATATAAATTATTGTCCATTATTATATGAATTATTGTCCAATACTTTAATATAAATTATTGTCCATTACTATATGAATTTTGGTCCATTACTATAATATGAATTATTATCAAAGTAAATGTTAGACTGCTTTGTTGTGTGAAATATATGTAATGGTGCACTATCATACAGTGTGTCATAATGTCTTCTCTCCGATGTGTTGTAAAACACAAGGAAAAACAAAGAATGAAGACTTCAAACGAACGTCAGATACGTATTTTATATTCTGAACCATGCCACTTTTAAATGAATTAAAAGATGGCATGCAGGTTACAACAACCTCGGGCAGGAGACCACCTGCAGATTTATTTTTTTAATGTAGTAACATTAAGTTTATAGTGTTGCCTCTATTAATATCAATGTTTATGCAGTTGACAAATCTTATTAATGATATTTGGAAAATAACCAAATGTGACGTAAATTTCGATGTATGCGAGGTCATCACTTCGAGTATAAATATTTAGAAACAGTCTGTGCAGCACATTGGTCTGTGGAATCTGTCGTCTAGATCTCTAGGTTACAGTGATGTGATCGTCTGTGTCTCGGCAAAGACTCTCGGCATAGACTAGGCCACAATTCCTAGCGTAGTCAGCTTGGTCTGTCATTAAAAACTTACACAGTAATCCCACAACATTACACAAACGATTAAAAAAAAGAAAAAAAACAACGGATTAGTGTTTGTCTTAATGGCTTAGTGTACTGTATGATTATATTGACTTCCAACGTTTTGTACTGAATTACCAAAACACCAGCCTGAAGATGTACAGGTTAATAGTTGACTGACCCACATACGGAGGTCACCAGAGTAATTCTCGTTTCACTAATTGTATGTACATGTAAATAAAGGCTATCCATATGTCGCCAAACTTGGTACACACGCCAGTACACTTCAAGTAAGAAACAATACAGAACAGGCAATAGTCCACATGTTGACTGTTACACTGATGATAGTTTGTATAAATGTAAAAGTAGTATTACTAAAATAGCCTAACAATAACTTCATACCATTGAAATCAGTTTAGAAATTTCATGGAATCTGACTTATAAAAACATCTAAGCAAAAGTTATCGACCTCCACAGATCTTCCCTAAAGGAACTTTTACTAAAAAAGAAAACAAAAAGTAGTAAATTTGATTTTGGTTAAAATCTAAATAAATAATATTGAGAATAGCTACACTCCATAAACCACTTTGGCCGGTGTGTTGGAAATATCAGTGATTTTATAGTTCTGACTGAAAATAGCTTTGCTTATTCTAAATGTGTGTCTTTTGTACAATTCTGCAAGTATTTATAAAGTTACATTTGAAGAAAATTACCTGTTTATTTTGGGGAGGGGTAAATATGATATCCACAGGTCCTGTTTTAGGTTCGCACTGAGTGTTGGAATGCATCTATCTAGTACAATATTTTAAACATATCATAAATAAAATGGACATGGATCTTTCATTTGATAATCTTCTACCTTAATAGCAGGGTGCAAGTTTTAGGGGCACGTTACATTAAGGTTAATGCAGAAAATAGTTCTGAACCTATGTAATCTCTTTTCTATGTTTATTGTAAAAGTAAAACATCTTTCTGGACCAATATTACGAAGATATTGTTAACAATAATCACGGAGGACGTGTAAGTTATGTCTCTACTATGACTGAGGCTTTGTATTGTTGGACAGGACAAGGGCATTTTGCGGCCAGAAGTGGACTTTGCGCTTGGGCTTTATCCAGTTGCACATGGATTGTTTTACATGCAATCTGAAAAATCATTTATTTATAATTCGTACACTGCACGTTACTACGGTGACATTTGTGCCATTTCGTTATTTCGTCTTTTGAAAGCAAAAAAAAGTAAGAATTGAAATTCTAAATTTTCGTTTGCTCGTCTTTTCGTCCCAAAAAGACGAGAATTAACAAACCTTAATTATCATCTTTTAGGGGTAAAATACGAAGAGACTGTAAATCATACACGAACAGACGAAACTTTAAATTTCTGAATCTAGTCTTTTCGCGTCTGTCAACGATTAAAAAAATCTACAAAAGTAGTCTATTATATACCGTACTAAAGTGTAACGCGGTACACTTTTAACTATCAAACTTCCTGGATGTACTATAAAGTAAATGTAAACGGTATAAATGTTACACATTCCAAATCGGCCGATTTGTTTTGAAGTATAGAAGTGATTAAAAGTATTCGGCCGGTGTGAGTCCTCGTAGTCACTTCACATGTCTTAAACATTACGGACCAGTCCTAAATGGATAAACATATTCATAATAAACGTTCATTCATCATTTGATTTTGGAGAATCGAGTATTAAATTTGTGTGAAAGGGTGTTATTCTCTTGTGTCTTCTGCACACTCCTTATCATTTTTGCCCTTGTTTGAATAAAACGCTTTTCTCGTCAATCCTTTTAATGTCTTCTAAAACTTTCTGTTGTGACATTCAGCGGGATTTTTGTGTAAACTATTTTTGTGTCCAATTTGTAACTTCATATTTGTTCCAAAACAAATCCATGAAACAAATGGATTTTGACGCTACACGTGTTGAAGGGAAATTATTGTATTTCTTCCAAGGTACGAGGTACAGTCTCCGGTGATGGATGTATCTCTTCGCTGGATCCATATTTTACATTGTGTAATTGTTTGAAAGTAGACAAATATTACCATATTGACGTATTTATGTTTTGAATGTTATTTTTTTGTGAAATTATTCCAAAAATAGTCTCGTGTAAAATTTGTCACTCGTGACGCGTCGTTTTCAGTACACGTTCGTTTTTCAGAACGCTAGAAGTATTGCAATTATATCCAAATTGTAAGGGCCTGCTCCACTGGCTGATGATAATTAGTGTTAACATTAACAGTGTTTATATATAAATTAATTTCATCACCATCAGTTTCTTTAAGTGATAATTTGCATGTGATATGAATAAAAGTACACAAGAATTAAGAGAAAGCAGCTATCACTTCAGGATTAGCCTCAAGTAATTACCTTGATAGACACATTATTGGTTTTCCTCTCTAATCTTTACCGACCATGACAGAAGCACGTGACGGTACTCTCGTGCCTTATCGCGTATCCAGTCCTGATATTCTATACAATTGTTGCCCATTTTTATTCTACCCTCTTGTTTTTGTCTGTCTGGGACAAAAGTCCTGTTTGAAGTTCCGTAATAATCCCTTAATATCTACAACGAGTGTTGGCAAAGATAAGAGGAACTGAAAACAAACTAATTTGTCAAGGAACCCAGTTTTTCTCTCAATTATGCGACAACATTCGGCACCTTCTATGCTTTTACAGCAGGGTATCATTGCTATTATAATCCACTTAGCCTCGCGCTCGATGCACGCGCGATCAGAAGTAGGCACGTTTTCCAATTAAATTCCGTCACCTTAGCTTCTGCGATAATCATACATGATGATTTGTGACGTGCTGTTTCATACAAAGTCTGTCAGGCAATGATTGACGGACATACGTCATCAACTCGACCGACCACTTATCACCTAAAGTGTGTTGTTATCTCAATGGCGTAGCCTGCACTTGAAAAACGTCCAGCACTTTAAGTATACATAAAGCACTGTTATTTGTATACATGGTGTTGATTTCTTTGTTGATGTAGGTCTCCTCATACATTTCAAACAAAGAAACAATCGCTACTTTTGTTTTTCATATTTCCCGGTTTTGTTGACGGTCATATCGTTACCCTTTGTGGAGTACACATACTTTTACCTGACAAAGTTTACGATCACTCATTGTGGCTACATACACGCATTGATAATTGCTACAAATGCACCTTTTGCGAAAGAATTACTAGGACGTTGCGCTTTGTTTCCAGACCACAAAATCGAATTGAAAATGACTGAAATAAAAACTTGTACTTCGCAGGTATGGGTATTGCAATAAGATCAAGTGGCTTTGATTGATTTAATTCTCCAGACCGCCGCTCCCCCTCCCCCCCCCCACCCACCCCACAAAAAAATCTCCTCAGAGTACGTTTGTTATTTTCGTTACACTACCATACTCCGTTAAAACCTGAAGCCAGACCTTTAGTTATGGGACTAGTGCATATCCTCATCTAGATTTTCTTTAATCACTTTTGATTTTCCTCAGTAGGCTCATAGGTATGAATATATAAACCCATAGCATCATTGACGCGTCCTAGAAGGACAAAATAGAGATATGTTGCTGCATCTAACTCTAACTTTCTATTAAAGATGTCATTCTCTTCAATGGTTACGGGCAAAGCAAAGCGAATGGCGGACTTCACGAAAAAAAGTCTCAATCCGCGTTATGAAACAATCAAATGTCTTGTTAACAAGATCGATGTTGAGTTCAGTTACATGACTTATATACAGGCTGTTGAATTACACAAGGGAATTTCTTGTTTTTCTACAAGGCTGGATTTGAAGTTGAGCATAGCAATACAGACCACGAAGGCCTTGTCATATTCTTAAATTTCACTTTTAGATTAATTAACCATCACTAACATTGGGAATCAAATTCCCGACAGAATATTCTACATCAGCATATCGTTATAGTAATAGAAGACCGAGATGACATGTTATGTACGACGGAAGGAAATTGTGAAAAGCCGGATGTCCCGAAATCCAAGAAACTGCTTTCGTAGAAAATTTCACTTGAAAAATTTATTGTAAATATACTTATCATCCTTGCATGGATAACTTTAAAATAAACAGTTCATCTAAATGACAATTTGTTATGAATATTACAATGCTTGCATCCTGTTCTGTTTTTCCTTCCTTATACAACACTGTTTCGGTAGGAGTATTACACATAGAACCATATGTGACATTTTTAATTACTTCCTGCTTTCCCGGAAAACTATGGACGTTTTATTTATTTTTGTTTTGTTTTTTGTTTTATTTTATGATACCATTGTAAGAAAGAGACCAGCTATGCTCAAGTATTAGAAAAGGTTTATGGTTTTTTTTTATATCATAACCAATTCCCATTAAACATATCAATGTTTTCAGAAATATATTATCAGAAAGGTATTATCTGCTTCGAGTTTAGAAAGTATCCAGTAATGCCGAATCTCTAAAGTACATGTCGTAGGGACTTCTATACGAGAACATCTTAGAGAGCTGGTATGATAATAATGAAGTGGTATTGCAGCTTACGTGCAAACTTGTGTCATAAATCAGTTTAAAGATAAAACCCAGATTTGTCCAGAATGCATGTGTAATCCTCGAAATCAAGATGGAGGAAAACGGGCGAATTTGATATTTTGGAAGAGTGAGATGGAAAGAAGACGTAAAGCCTTATAGTAAGGTCATACTAAACTTTTCTCTGACAAGTCTTTTGTTTATTTCTAGTATTTTTCAATATGTATCACGTCTTCGAGTGTTTACTGATATGATCGACCTTTAACATCCGTGTTTTTAGCATCCGTGTTTGTGTGTTTGTTTAGTACTTAGTACTGTCTGTATGTTTCACTATTTTTATTTATTTATTTCCTTTCTTTGTTTCAAATATTTTTTTTAAAATTTCAATTCAATTTTTTATAGTAATGTAAAACAAATTAAAGATATAGTAAGATCTCTTTAGTATATATATTTATATATATAATGTTGCAGAACATTCATCTTTCTTTGGTTTCAGTTTATCGGTATATGGTACCACAGGTAATGCTTTTCTAGGTATTTGTAGACATGATATACCAATATATTAACACTTTGCAGCAGTCTTTTCGACCTTTCACTAAATACAAATGGACAGGCGACAATTTGCTGCATGACCCCCTACCACCTCGGCATAATGAAATGTTAAGATGTTAAAGAATTATTATAAACACATCCACCATGAAATACTTTCATTCTAACTGGCCGGTACAGCAAGAAACTTTGAACACTCGAAAACGTGTGGAACATATGTTTATTTATTTATTTTATTTATTTCAACAATATATACGTAAGTAAGTAGTATTCGATCATTGCCACGCCACTGTACAACACAGATAAATAATTTATGTTTATGTTTTTCGCCACATATTCCATTACATTGGTCAAGCAAGAAGTCTTCCACCACTGTTCAAACTGAAATATCCGAATTCTGACGAAGGCAATGAAAAAAAAAAATAACCGGTATTTTTCAGAACGGACTTGTCACGAGTTTCTTGTTTCACGAGGAATCGTCACTGTCATCGCCATGATAATATGATCCAAACGAACTTTTGTCATCGTCCCAGTCAAGAGTTTGGTGTCCGTTGTCCTCTTTGATGCTCTCATGATTTGTTTCACAATCTACTTCCGTTTTTACTTTTCCAATCATTTCGCCATTTTGATAGTTTACTACGTTGTTAAGAAGATTGATATATCGAATTGTCAATCTCAGAATTTCATGTTTGCTGAGCTTTTTGTCTGGTGGGTGAGTTGGGACCAGTTTACGGAGCTCTGCGAATGCTCCATTGACGTTTTGCTGTCTCCATCGCTCTCGGCTGTTGGTAAAAACACGTCTATGTATTTTTCGGATGGGGATGCCATCACTGTCTGTGTCGCTACATCGGTTTGAATGTTTGCGGCGGAGGTCCAGGGCACATTCCTGGGTCCCGACATCCGATGTACTGACACTCAGCCCCCTGGGGGACATGAGTGGGTACGGTACACTCTGAAGACAAATAAATCCTGTGTCTTTACTCTTGTGATCTGATTCACAAAATACATTATCGTCACTCTCTTCCTGATCTCGCATACAGTTATCATCCCTATCATCTGACACAATCCGGTAGGTGTCGTTGTTGACATCTTCATACAGTGTGTCACTACTAGCACTGCTTGTGCTGTATGCCAATTTCATCCGGCGGTTCACACACCCACTGAGATCGTCGATACTATCATGTCTTTCTTGACCTACAAATTCTTTTCTTTCATATTCTGATGAACCCAGTCTCATATGACCTATTGATCCTATGCTGCTTTTTGACGTCATGCTTGAAGTTGAGAAATTGCGATTCCCTCTGGAAACACTAAAGGCATCCTCTTTCCGGTCAAGCCGTCTTGAGATTGGCATTTCCTCGTTCTGTGATATAAATGTAAAGAAAACAATATGAAATTTGTTTTAATCAAAATTCGCCACCAAATGCTATTGAAAAATATATTGGAAGTTTGATACCCATTCTTGGAGCAGCTCTCATAGATACTATAAGGTGCTTGCAATATACAATTGTATGAAAATAATAATTGTCAAGTAGTTTACTCTGTCACCACCGTTATATTGCAAATACAATTGTAGCGCCTTTCAGCACGTATAACGAGTCAAGTAAACTTCCCTTGCTGTTTAAAACCGTGTATAATGCCACCAACATACTGGAAAATAACATGACAATGTTTTACATGTACAACGTAAATGGTCACAAAATGGTTAGCAAGTCTTAAATGTTAACTTACATTATAATTGGACTGATCACTTCATTACCGAATCCTGAGATGTGTTCTTTGTGAGTTACATTACCAAGTTCTATTTCCTTTACCTACATTAAACGATAATCTCTTTCCTTAATTCTTCGAAAACATTGACTCTATCAATTTTCTTTTTACAGTTGCAGGAACATATTTGATCTTCAATGGATCAATACGTTGATCAAGACGTTAAGTAGCCTTCAGAAGAGCCCATATACTGTATGCGCTTATAATATTTACCGCTATGTTGTCTTCTGTGTCGTATATTACGATTGAAATATTCTCGACAGCAAACCATTATCTTTATTTGAAGTTTTATAACAAAGTCCGAATATACTTAAGCGTCTAAGCAAGAAGACAAAATATACCCGGTCGTCAACATAAGGTGACAAAATATACCGAAGTGTCAACACAAAAGGACGAAATCTATCAAAGTGTCAACACAAGAGGACGAAATGTACCAAAGTGTCAACACAAGAGGACAAACTATACCAAAGTGTCAACACAAGAGGACGAAATCTATCAAAGTGTCAACACAAGAGGACGAAATGTATCAACACACAAGGAAACAAACATACCAAACTGTCAACACACCACAAGGAAACAAATATACCAAACTGTCAACACACCACAAAGAAAACAAATATACCAAACTGTCAACACACAGGGAAACAAATATACCAAACTGTCAACACACAAGGAAACAAATATACCAAACTGTCAACACACAAGGAAACAAATATACCAAACTGTCAACACACCACAAGGAAACAAATATACCAAACTGTCAACACACAAGGAAACAAACATACCAAACTGTCAACACACAAGGAAACAAATATACCAAACTGTCAACACACAAGGAAACAAATATACCAAACTGTCAACACACAAGGAAACAAACATACCAAACTGTCAACACAACACAAGGAACCAAATATACCAAACTGTCAACACACAAGGAAACAAATATACCAAACTGTCAACACACAAGGAAACAAATATACCAAACTGTCAACACACAAGGAAACAAATATACCAAACTGTCAACACACAAGGAAACAAATATACCAAACTGTCAACACACAAGGAAACAAACATACCAAACTGTCAACACACAAGGAAACAAATATACCAAACTGTCAACACACAAGGAAACAAATATACCAAACTGTCAACACACAAGGAAACAAATATACCAAACTGTCAACACACAACAAGGAAACAAATATACCAAACTGTCAACACACAAGGAAACAAATATACCAAACTGTCACACACACACAAGGAAACAAATATACCAAACACACAAGGAAACAAATATACCAAACTGTCACACACACAAGGAAACAAATATACCAAACTGTCAACACACCACAAGGAAACAAATATACCAAACTGTCAACACACAAGGAAACAAATATACCAAACTGTCAAAACACACAAGGAAACAAATATACCAAACTGTCAAGGAAAACACACAAGGAAACAAATATACCAAACTGTCAACACACAAGGAAACAAATATACCAAACTGTCAACACACAAGGAAACAAATATACCAAACTGTCAACACACAAGGAAACAAATATACCAAACTGTCAACACACAAGGAAACAAATATACCAAACTGTCAACACACAAGGAAACAAACATACCAAAATGTCTACACACCACAAGGAAACAAATATACCAAACTGTCAACACACAAGGAAACAAATATACCAAACTGTCTACACACCACAAGGAAACAAATATACCAAACTGTCAACACACAAGGAAACAAATATACCAAACTGTCAACACACACAAGGAAACAAATATACCAAACTGTCAACAACACACAAGGAAACAAATATACCAAACTGTCAAACAACACACAAGGAAACAAATATACCAAACTGTCAAACACACAAGGAAACAAATATACCAAACTGTCAACACACAAGGAAACAAATATACCAAACTGTCTACACACCACAAGGAAACAAATATACCAAACTGTCAACACACAAGGAAACAAATATACCAAACTGTCAACACACCACAAGGAAACAAATATACCAAACTGTCAACACACAAGGAAACAAATATACCAAACTGTCAAAACACAAGGAAACAAATATACCAAACTGTCAAAACACACAAGGAAACAAATATACCAAACTGTCAACACACAACTAACAAACAAATATACCAAACTGTCAACACACAAGGAAACAAATATACCAAAGTGTCAACACACAAGGAAACAAATATACCAAACTGTCTACACACCACAAGGAAACAAATATACCAAAGTGTCAACACACAAGGAAACAAATATACCAAACTGTCAACACACAAGGAAACAAATATACCAAACTGTCAACACACAGGGAAACAAATATACCAAACTGTCAACACACACACAAAGGAAACAAATATACCAAACAACACACAAGGAAACAAATATACCAAACTGTCAACACACCACAAGGAAACAAATATACCAAACTGTCAACACACAAGGAAACAAATATACCAAACTGTCAACACACAAGGAAACAAATATGTCAACACCACAAGGAAACAAAGGAAACAAATATACCAAACTGTCAACACACACAAGGAAAACAAATATACCAAACTGTCAAAACACACAAGGAAACAAATATACCAAACTGTCAACACACAAGGAAACAAATATACCAAACTGTCAACACACAGGAAACAAATATACCAAACTGTCAAACACAACACACAAGGAAACAAATATACCAAACTGTCAACACAACACAAGGAAACAAATATACCAAACTGTCAACACACAAGGAAACAAATATACCAAACTGTCAACACACAAGGAAACAAATATACCAAACTGTCAACACACAAGGAAACAAATATACCAAACTGTCAACACACCACAAGGAAACAAATATACCAAACTGTCAACACACAAGGAAACAAATATACCAAACTGTCAACACACAAGGAAACAAATATACCAAACTGTCAACACACAAGGAAACAAATATACCAAACTGTCTACACACCACAAGGAAACAAATATACCAAAGTGTCACCACACAAGGAAACAAATATACCAAACTGTCAAACACACAAGGAAACAAATATACCAAACTGTCAACACACAAGGAAACAAATATACCAAACTGTCAACACACAAGGAAACAAATATACCAAACTGTCAACACACAAGGAAACAAATATACCAAACTGTCAACACACAAGGAAACAAATATACCAAACTGTCAACACACAAGGAAACAAATATACCAAACTGTCAACACACAAGGAAACAAATATACCAAACTGTCAACACACAAGGAAACAAATATACCAAACTGAAACAAATATCAAAAACACACAAGGAAACAAATATACCAAACTGTCAACACACCACAAGGAAACAAATATACCAAACTGTCAACACACAAGGAAACAAATATACCAAACTGTCAACACACAAGGAAACAAATATACCAAACTGTCAACACACAAGGAAACAAATATACCAAACTGTCAACACACAAGGAAACAAATATACCAAACTGTCAACACACAAGGAAACAAATATACCAAACTGTCAACACACCACAAGGAAACAAATATACCAAAGTGTCAACACACAAGGAAACAAATATACCAAACTGTCAACACACCACAAGGAAACAAATATACCAAACTGTCAACACACCACAGGAAACAAATATACCAAATAGTCAATATAAAATGATAACTTCTACCAAGTCGTCAACACAGTGACAAAATATACCAATGACAGTTTTAAGTTATAAATAAGCAACTTTTGATCATTTTTGTAACATGAATAACACCAACAGAATCAACACACAAGGGTGAAATATATAGCGTTAACACACCAGATCGCCAACGCGGAAAGACAAACTATACCGAAAAATCAACACATAAGGACACAATTTCACCAATCGTCTACATGCAAAGTCAAAATATACTGCAAATGCAATAAAAAAAGGAGGCTGTATAACAGCGCATCAAGACACCAGGACGAAATACAGCACAGCACCAAGTATTTACACAAAACATACAGGAGTATCAAGGCACCAGGACGAAATATAGCACAGCACCAAGTATTAACACAAAACATACAGGAGTATCAAGGCACCAGGACGAAATATAGCACAGCACCAAGTATTAACACAAAACATACAGGAGTATCAAGGCACCAGGACGAAATATAGCACAGCATGAAGGCACTTATACAAAACATTAAATGGTATCAATACGCCGGGACAAATTATACACTGTATAGATTCGGGGGAACCCTATGCTTTGACGATGTTCTGAGCCCTAATGTCATGTGCATTAAACGTTTTTTTTTGTAAAATCATTTGAGATTTGGAGTGCACATTACTGGTATTGATACACTCTGCTGTAGGACGATATGTCAAAGATGAAGGACGTAACCCTACTACCTCCCTCAAATTCTTTTAATATGTGGCTTTTGTTTAGAAAATTTACCGTAATCATTAGATTAACTTAAAAGAGTAACTTCTTTGCACCAGTTTCGTATTTGTATGGATATATATTCTAATCCGCTGCGTTCAACAAACATTTTGTTGACTAGTATCAAAT